GGGAGCGCTACTTACGGTTTGAGTGTGTCTCCCACTGAATATTTATATATTTTCTTCAGAGCTCTTCAGAACACGTTCGCCGGTCGACAAAGCAAACCATGCACTGACTGACAAGCAATGCGCATGCTTCTCATGGTACTCCGTAGTGACGTAGCTGATGATGAGATAGAATTAGAATTTTCAGCGTTACAAAGGTTCGAAAAACCCCACATTTCCACAATTTAATATTTTATCATTTTTTCGACAATTTATTACGATTAATAATAGTCTTAATTACATTTCCTAAAAAACGCGGATTTGATCCCCCCCCCCGTCCATCCGCTTGTCCCCCCCGTCCGTCCGTCCGTCCGCCATCCGTCCGTCCGTCCGTATCCGCGTTTTATCCTTACCCGTGTCAGTTGTCGCTCATTTTGTAGCTGCTTTGTCGCTTGTTTTATTGTGTCGCTGTCACTTTTGACCCATAACACAAATCGCAATTTGTCAGTCGCTTTTTCCCAGTCAGTAGCTGTCGTTTGTCACTATTTTTCAGATAGTCTGTCGCCTCTTTTTAAGCAATGTCGCCTGTCGGTCATAACCCCTTGGTGGGCCTCATGAGAATCAGGCTTTATATCCGTTTCTGTTCGTCATTTACATCGATCAACACAGTATATGTCCAAGTGGAGTAGAACAATAAACTGATTGTCCACGTATGTGGGTAAAAAAAGCAAATGGTTACAATGACAAGCCAATAAACATGCATATACTATTTGCATATGCAAATTGTGTATGCAAATACGTGAAACATTTTGAGATTTGCCAATCTATGTCTCAAAAACACAGTTCCAGTTAAGCAGGTAAATTTGAGCAAGGGAAAATGAAATTTGTTCGAGTTATAGCGAGGAGTTCCAGTTAGCGAGTTCGGGGCTTCTACTATAGTTTCGGATTTAATAGTGCATGCATGTCTACAAAACAAGAGTTGACTGTATATAATAAGATTCCAGATTTTACAACTTCCTTGGTGATTTAGGAATGCATGTAAAGCTTACAGAGCTCAGGCCTATATCAATGATCGCAAAGGACCGGCAGATTTTCTGGTTCAAAGCTTGCACTCTTAGAAAAATGTAAGTCATGGTGGTCAAGCTACTAAGGCTCGCCGTCTAAACGCGGCTTAAGATGCAACATGCCCTTCATTGTAATTTATTCTGTCTAAGACAATTTTACCAGAATATTTTACTCGTCATGGGAAAATACCACAACAAATCTTTGCACAGTTTTCTCATAATTTATTTTCTCCTTTTTTCGTTCTTATTAAGGACTAATGGTGGAAAACCATGTTACCACAAGAACACATTTGACAAGCTATGGCTTTACTTAATCTACAAGCTGTCATTGATAACTCATTGCATTGAATCATTTGCGTTTGCCAGCGCGGCAAGCAGAATAATATTTTGGGCTCACTTTTTTCGAATTTGCCTTGTAACCAAGCCTGATCCAAGATGGCGGCCATCAGTTGCTAAGCAACTTACCTTTATTTTTACCGCAAGAAATTCGACGGAAATACCACTTCGATAATTCGGTAAACCGCATTTTGGACTGAATTTAAAGAGACAAACAATAACATAAGACATCGAAAAAGCAAAAGCGAAGATTTTAATCGAAGAACCGACTCAATTGATGTTTCAGGTACTGCGCTAGAACGTTTAATAGTACTGGCTCATGAGTCAACAAGTTTAATATACAACTGATATACACTATATGTTTCCTCAGAACAGAGACGACCGGTTAGCAAAATCCATATAAACACACATGCACACGCAAAGGAAGTATCGCAAATCGTATTATTGATAAATTAATAACGAATCATTAAACATACCAAGGTACAATTCGATCTATATAAAGTAAATAAAGTAATTAAATAATATTTAGATATCGTAACTTAAATCCAATATTACTAGGCTATATGTGTCAATAAACTGTTC